CCCTCTACACTGGATATGGGTAGGTACGGAGGGCGTCAATCCTTCCGGCCAAGGCAGCATGAGCACTAGCACAAGCGTGCTCTTCTTGCATAACTCCGGTTGCAGTAGCGTGGTAGCCATCGCTTCCGAGGTAGCCAACAGGCGCTTCTGAGTTCCTTTGGGTTGCTTTTAGATACGTCGTACAGAACTTTGAAAGCGTCATCTGTCCGAATATGATGCACCGTACTAATCAGGTGTTCAAGGACGAAGTTCTGTGCACTCTTACTGACGTACCGTGAAGAGGAGGGACAGTGTTCCGCTATCCTCTTAGACAGACGCCTGATCATGTGTCCAAGGTACCTGGCACCACAGGCGCAAGATATATTTGGTTCATAGCGACGGACAATCTTTTGTTCAGTAACTCGTATGTGATATCTCCTTTGAGGGGAACCGAAATGAAGACGTCCATATTTTCCTTACCGTTGGTATTTCTTTAGGTTGATCAGAAACAGCCGAAGGCTTGTAGGTAAATTCGACCGTGATTAACCGTGTGCATCCATCGTTACAATTCACTTGTGAAATAAAGAATGACACTGAAATCTCATTTTTGGGTGTCACTGAGGCTGCGAGCTGACGGATTGTTTGAGAGTAAGGTATTCTGGAAGTCTACATGGCTGGTCAGTACATACATTTCCTTAGTTTTCCTTAGTTTTGAGAAACCTTATGCTGTGTCTTTACTATCGCGCCGCAAATATCTGTAGTCCAGAATTATTGGATGCCGAGAAGAATTTTCTTCTCACAACACTACAAAACAACGGTTATCCCACGACATTTATCCACAAGCCTTCTGCTATTTCTGATCAACCTAAAGAAATACCAACGGTAAAGAAAAAATGGACGTCTTCATTTCGGTTCCCTTCAAAGGAGATATCACATACGAGTTACTGAACAAAAGATTGTCCGTCGCTGTGAACCAGGCAAAAGTCCACCTTCTTGCCGAGACTGTTCCGTTTATCACTAGAAGCCTCAAAGACAGACTCCCGGCTCGTTCCGAAATTTTTGTTGTATATCAGTTCACCTGCGCCTATGGTGCCAGGTACCTTGGACACACGATCAGGCATCTGTCTAAGAGGACAGCGGAACACTGTCCCTCCTCTTCACGGTACGGTACAGTTAAGAGTGCACATAGCTCCCTCCTTGAGCACCTGATTAATACGGTGCATCATATTCGGACAGATGACGCTTTCAAAGTTCTGTACGCCGTAGCTAAAAGCAACCCAAAGGAACTCAAGAGGCGCCTGTTGGTTCCTTCGGAAGCAATGACTATTACGCTGCTGCAACCGGAGTTATGCAAGAAGAGCACGCTTGTACAGGCGGTCATTCTGCCTTGGCCGGAAGCAGTGACGCCATCCGTACCGACCCATATCCAGGACTAACTGTGAGCTTTGCCGTCAAACCAACCATTTCTTTCCTGTTAAGTTTGCTTTTTAGCGTTTGAGGTGTGAAAACGCGTGATGTTTACCACCTGATTGCTTTGACTGATCTATCGATTGCGTCGTTGACCTATCGTTGAACTGTGACCAAAGCATTCACCGTTGCAGCTTTAGATAGCTTCTCGTGTTGTATCAATTTTTCTCATAGTTGTAAATGCCTAAGTAGAATGATCGAAAAGAGATCTTTTTGCAGCAGCAACTTTTCTTGTAAAACTACCGTATGCGCTTGTGAATGGCTTCCGGACATTGAAGGATGTAATCCCCACCTTCACATCTCAGCAACCGGTTGTGCTCAATACGCGCGAATATTCTACAATATACTCCAATATCCTGTCGCGCCAACGGCATGTTTTATTTTTGGTCCCATTTTTCCAGATGCCAGAATGAACCTTTATTACTTGCAATACAACGAGTATTATGTAGATGTTATCGTTGTGCACGCATATATTCCCGGAGTTGTCAACGTTTACCCGAAATCACAACAGGTGGCTCCTTCTAGGATACCCGAACTACTGTCCTGATTTTTTCAAAAATGTTTGGCCGTATCAGGTTTCCAACA